TGGAGTCCAATATTCATCGAAGCTGGATCGTTCATAGCGAGGGCCTGCCGATTTTTTCTCTGCTTTCTGGCGTTTGATTTCTTAAGCCTGGTTCCTCATGTCTCTTTCGTCCCTGATACGTTCCTAGGGTCCGATATACATGTGACAATACTCCTGCTTTCGAGTTTCTCTTCTTCGTCCCCCTTTATGGGGTCCCATTTTTATGTTTTAGGGGCTCCCTCTATTTTACTTACCTTCTTATGTGCCTTTTTTTACCCGGTACTCGGCAGCTGGATAATGTATGTACTTAGTCCTCCTATGTTTCGCCGTATTTAGGCAAATCTGGAATCTATCCTTTCCTCAGAAGACTTTTTTTTTCCCCCCCTTCTTTTTCTTTCTCTGTGTGCATAGTGTCAGTGGGTGTATGGAGTACTTTATATGTAGTTGTGTATCCGCAGCCTGCCGGCCAATGAGAAACGCCGATGCCGAGTTCCCAACCCGTGGATTCCGCGACTGTCAGGGAAATTCGAATTTCTTTACTGAAACAGCTTTCTCCTTAATTGCGCTTTGTATACATTGCTCCTTTGAACAATGTGCATGATATAGCTTCTTGATACATAGGGAAGCCGTTCGACAGAGCACAGAAAGGGGTACAGACCTCCGCAATCTCCTCCGTCCCCCGCCTATACTTTTTCTTCGACTTCGATGGATCTCGCTTGAACCGGTTCAATCGGCTCAATTGTGCTTGCTCTCGGCTTCCCTGCCTCTGAAAAACACACCGTGTTCATCGCTCACGGTCCCTTCGGTGCCCCTTCGGCCTCCAGCAGCCAGATCTGCGACCTGGCGCGCCAGCTACCCCCGACCTCGACCTGAGACTATATAATAGACGTTGGAAATGGCAGTCACACCACCTGCAGGGCCTATGGGAACTAGCCAAAACCCCAGCGGCCCAAAAAGCGATCTTCTAGCTGCCACCCCCCCGCAGCTCCGACCAATCGTCTGGCGGGCAGTCCAAGCGGAAGCAAGATGGTCTGAAGGCGCTGGAGCTTGAGAATGAGTTCAAGGCCAAGCATTTTGGCGTGATGGGTGTTCTGGCGTGGATATTGTGAGTGGTTCCTTTTCAAGCCTAGCAGAGCTTGAGGTCCAAGGCCCACTGCAGGCTTGACGCGCTGAAAAATAAAATCGAACTGACGTTGGATGAATGATAGACTCTTGCATGTCGCCGGTATTTATCTGTTCACAAAAGGCTTTCTCCTCACGCGCATGGTCCTCGAGAACAAATCATCATGCGACATACTGCCTTTCGAAGACATTTTGGCCCAATCACAAACTACAGCCCTGGGGAGTAAACAGCAGAAGGGCTGCTGGCACGAGAAAACCTTCGACAAGGCCGTTGTCATCATAATCGACGCACTCCGCTATGACTTCACTGTCCCATTCGCCCCGAAGGGAGAGAGTGACACAGTTCACCTCTTCCACAACAACATCCCTGTCCTCTACGAGACCGCAGTGCAAAACCCTGCCAATGCCTTCCTTCTGCCATTCATCGCGGATCCCCCGACGACCACTCTGAACCGCCTGAAAGGCCTGACCACAGGAACCCTGCCTACTTTCCTGGAAGCAGGCTCCAACTTCGCTGGAACCGCCATCGACGAGGACAATCTTGTCGCACAGTTGCATAGCGCCGGGAAGAACTTGGTTCACCTCGGTGATGATACCTGGCAGGCACTGTTCCCGGGATATTTTGATACCAATCTCACACATGCGTACGACTCATTCAATGTCTGGGACTTGCACACCGTCGACAATGGCGTCACGGAGCATATCTTCCCGCTCCTCCAGCCAGAGAACAGCAAGAAATGGGATGTCATCTTTGGCCATTATCTTGGAGTAGATCATGCAGGCCATCGATATGGTCCTAACCATGCTGCTATGGCATCCAAGCTCCAGGAAATGGACCGCGTTATTCGCGACATCATTGCTGCGCTCGATGATGAGACTCTTCTGGTCGTTATGGGGGATCACGGAATGGACATCAAGGGCGACCACGGCGGCGAGTCTGATGACGAGGTTGAGGCCGCGTTGTGGATGTACTCCAAGCGCGGCATCTTCGGACGCACAAGCAAAGATACGCTCCTCCCGCCCCAATTCGCGCGCGACAGATTCGTGCCTCAGATTGACCTCGTTCCGACGTTGTCTTTGCTCCTTGGAATGCCCATCCCATTCAATAACCTAGGTTCACCTATTGAAGAGGCTTTCGCTGGCGCACGTGGGAACAACTGGGCGAATCTGGCGACTGTCAACCGGTTGGCTGCAGCCCAGGTCAAGCGATACCAGCACCAATATGCGCTTGCTAGAGGTGCTGGTGATGATGAAGAGTCGGCTTTGCTTTGGAATGCTGCAGAAGAGGAGTGGAAGTCTGCTTCCAAGGGCTTCTCATCCAAATCTACCGCTGCTCGCGCTAGCAATGAGCTTTTCCGCAAGTACCAACGTCACACTCTCGATATCTGTCGTGCATTGTGGGCTCGGTTCGATGTGCCAAGCATGATTCAAGGTGTTGTGATTCTCTTTGCTAGTATTATCTTGTTGATCATCTATGCACGAGGTTTGAAGACAGATCGGACCCAACTCACGTCTGACCTGCTTCAGTTCGCAAGCGTGGGTGCTGGCGTTGGTGCCGTGGCTGGTTCTGCATTTGGCCTGACCGGCCTGACCGAGATGTCGATGGTCGATGGAGCCGTGCTGCTGGCTGCCGCTGGAAGCATCCTCGGGGCCACGCCGGCTATCATCAAGAAGCCTAACATGACCCTGCCCCTTCCAAACGGCATGTGGGGATGGCTTGCGTTTTTCTTCACCGTTTCACAGTCTGTTGGATTTGCGTCGAACTCGTACACTATCTGGGAAGACGAAATTCTTCTTTTCTTCCTCACTACATTTGGCGTGTGCGCAGGTGTCTCCTCCATGCGGCAGAAGCAGACCACGGACCGCGTCTTAGGTGTATACCACTCTGTTCTGTTCGTGATCCTAGGCCGAATCGCATCTTTCTCTCGCCTCTGCCGTGAAGAACAGATGCCCTTCTGCCGCTCCACGTACTATGCTTCATCGACTTCTTCCACCTCCGCTCCCTGGCAGCTTACCATTCCTTTCCTGGTCACTCTCTTCCTGCCCAGCGTCGTGCGCTCCTTCTACGCCGGCTCCAAGTCCTATGAAGGCACGGCATCGCTATGGATCGGCTTTGCCTTCCGCTTCGGTCTCTTCGTCACCTCCCTATTCTGGGTTCTCGAAGGCGCCGACGACGGCGAGTGGCTACCCGTAAGCGAGGAAACCCTGAAGTTCGTTCGTGTCTTCCTAGCCCAGTTCGTCCTCGCCCTTGCGTTCGCAGCAGGCACTGCAGCATACTTCTACTCCAAGCCTTGCATCACCATCAACGTGAGCAAACCCACCGAAGATCCCAGCAGCCCACCGGCCCCTATAGTCGCCGGCCAGCAACAAGGCCCACGGACAAAAGTCACAATCCTCGGCTTCGGCAACATCTACGGAACCCACTTCTGCTTCGTACTCATCAACTTCGCCCTCGCCGTCATACTCATGCAGAAGCCAATGGGCCAAGGCGCCATCGCCCTCCTCCTCTGGCAAATCCTCTCTCTCCTCGAAATCCTCGACACAAACAGCCTAACCATGTCAAACTCTTCCATCGGCCCCGTCATACTCGGCGTCCTCGGTTCTTTCTACTACTTCAAAACAGGCCACCAGGCCACCCTCTCCAGCATCCAGTGGGAAACAGCCTTCATCCCCCTCACAACAATCCAATACCCCTGGTCCCCACTCCTCGTCATCCTCAATACTTTCGGCGCCCAGATCCTGGCTGCCATCGCCGTCCCCCTCACCGTCCTCTGGAAACGACCCCTCCAGACTCACGACCGTGTCCCCGCTTCCAACCCGAACAAGAACCCCGCCACACGCATCCTCTCCGATGTCGTACAGGCCGCTGGAACCCATATCATCTACTTGGCGACTATTAATCTCGCCACGACTATGTGGGCCGGCCATCTCCGCCGCCATCTCATGCTCTACCGCATCTTCAGCCCTCGCTTCATGATGGGCTCGGTGGTGCTGGCTGTTGTGGATGTCGTCTTGATGGTCTTTGCTGTCGGCGGTGTGCGTTGGAGTACTCTCAGTGTTGCCGAGATCTTCGGTTGGTGATGATGAGGTTTTGAAAAGGAACCATGGGCTGGGGAATACAAGTCCCAATCTCAGGTTGGACATAGAAAATGCAGAAAATGCACGCTTGGAAATGTGCATTTCCGTCCCCGGATCTCTCATCTCTCTTTCCATCGTCCAATCACTACATCTCTTCTTTTCTACGGCTACAGCCTTGTACACATCAAACCCTCGCATCTTTCCCTTTCTCTGCATCGCCTCGCTCTCACATTTGTACATGTGCTCTATATCACATTCCCCTCACTTCTCTTTCCTATCTCTTTTTGCTTCGACTATATATGTCGGTTGTTAGGTACTTTATTATAATCGTGACCACGGTCTGTTAAATAAACAAGCTTCACATAAAGTACGCCCAAAACACCCAAAAGAAAACAAGCCCACGGCAACACGCACGCCATCCCGGTTCAGGGTAGGTATTGCGTATGTATACACATAAGCAACAGGAGGTAAAATAGCCCTTCGTCGTTATCATTTCCTTACACAGAGACCCTTCTTCCTGGTCAAGACAATAATCAGCATAGAACCACAACCTTGGAATCTTTGTTAACATTTATAAGCAGGCATGGGCGGCTCTATCCATGGATGCTAGCTTCTACCCTTGGACATTTAATACATAGTCAGCATGCAATATCTAGTAAAACCTCCCCTAGCAATCTGATATGTTACTCTCTATAATTTCTCAATATGCGCTAGCAAAACGCTTATATATATTGCCCAAACACCTGGACATCATTGACGAGTAATATTTGGTTGAGAAGATGGGTGAAGATTGCGATAATGGTACATGTATGTACTCAATTTCATGCTGATCCCGCAAGACCCTTATAAACCCCCGCCTCGACGTCCTGGTACAGTTGGAACACTTGACCATCGCCAAATGGCAGAATTTGCGCGCATATCATTCCCGCCACACCATTTTCACGATCACACCACCAGAAAAGGTTCGGCAGCCCAGACCACTGTGCCGTCCTTAGAGAACGGCCCGTAGTGCCCCCGCTTAGCATGAAGGTCAGTCCCCATCCTTGGCGATCCCCGGCAACAGTTGGGTGTAGACCCGTGGCAGAGTTCGTTAGGTCCGGCTCTGCGTTGGCCATGTACTTTTCACGCAGGGGTGGAAGACTTCCGATTTGGTCGCTGAACATTTCCTCCACGGTGTCTTTATTCAGTAGCTGCTTTCCGGTGATTGGAGAAGTCCCGTTGTTAAGCAGTACAGTTAGAATCTCTGGACAGAGACGTTAGCCATTGAAGCGGGTGATATCACGAAAAGATCGAAACATACGGCAGTAATCTTGGGGTGTTGAGAAACATCCTGCTCCACCACTGTTGAATAATGACTTCACGTCGGTCTCGTTGTCCACTATCAGCGGTCGTCGGAGTAAATGGTTCCGGGAATGGATTCGGCCGGTCGAATCACGCTGGTGCATATAGGCTAGTCTGTTCTTCATCGTTGGAGTCGGGATCATCGATATCTCAGTAAGGCCCAGCGGTTCAAAGATGTATTGGTGGAAATATTCGTTCAGGGATTTTCCGGAGACACGTTCAATCACAATGCCTACCCAATCGATGCCTACCTGTTATATGGTTCACATTAGGTTAGTAGCTGTAGCCTTGTCACCATTGATCAATGTATTCATTACCCCATACTCCCAAACTTCTCCTGGCTGGTTCACCAATGGCTGTTTGAAGTCGCTAAGATGTCCCGCAAATTCATCGTAGCCAGCAGGGCGGCCGTAGTCTCGTAATTTGTGATTCATGAAGGCATATCCAAAACCAGCTATAGAGTGGTGTCAGAAAGCACTCTCAGATAGTATGTCCCCTATCGCAATTACTCACCCGTGTGACTCAATAACATCCTCAACGTGATGCCTCTTTTCTTGTCAACCAATTTCCCATCTTCTTGCAAGACTTTGACGTCCTTCAGCTCGGGGCAGATCTGCTCGATTTCCTTAGCGTCATCCAAGGAAAGCCGCCCCTGTTCCACCAGCTGCATGCACGCAATCCCGGTGATCAATTTCGTGCATGACGCGATCCAAAAGACATTGTCGGTTCTCATTGGCTCGGGACTTCCATGTCCTCTCTGTCCTCCTGCGTGGGAAAACATGAGCTTGCCATCTTTTCCAGCGACTGCGACAGCAACGCCTGGGATTCCATTGTCAAGATCGCTGCAAGCTGAATCAATTCGGTTTTTGAGGGCTTCTAGGGTGGTAGTAGGGAGTAGACCCATTTTGAAATAAACAAGGGTTGATAGTTGAAACGGTCGACAGGTGAATATGAACCCAAGGCTGGGGATGAGAGGCCCGGAAACGCATATGCCGATCTCACACAATGAACATTAAATCCGAGGTCGGAGCATCAAGGAGTTATCCTATACCCGACATCTGGCAGACTTCATATTTCCGGTGCGGGGGTAGGATAATTCCGAACTCCCCGGGCCGACCTCGGGATGTTTATTAGGGCAAAAGGTGGGGTACATATCCATGGATCCATTAGATGGTTTCCAGGGTTCTTTTGGTAGTAAACTGGTAAATTCTATTTAAATGTAGTAAGTATAGAGGTTAGAAATATACCTATCCATTCTATGACTGAGAAAGCATGGCTTAGCCAAAACTTTCCACTCTGGTATAGACAATCTACAGGAAAAGAAACCCGGAGACAACCGCAAGGAAAGACATGAATCCCGAACCACCAGCGGTCAAGTCCGAAGCCGCATTGAAAACCGGAGAAGCAGAGGGCGCACTGGGACGAGAAGAAACCGAGCCGGAGCTGGACGGTGTGGCTGTGTTAGCAGCAGTGATAAGGCTTCTACTAAATTCAGAACTGTTAGGTATAGCGACAACAGACGAGGAGGATGTGAAAACCGACCTAGAAGCGGAAGTCGTCTTCGAGGTAGTCGAGGAAGTCGAGGAAGTCGACGAACTCAAGTTAGTAGAACCAGTAGAACCAGTAAACTCGATACTCTCATAAGAACCACTTTGGTCAGACCAGGTGTAAGACTCAGCCGGGTTGTAGTTGACGATAGTGACGTCCTTGATATACATAGTGAAGGGCGACTTGCTGTAATCTGTTTCGCCGCCGGCCCATTGGATCGTGCCCTGCGCATTACTTGGGTCGCCGCCGGCCCAAATGCCGATGCGAACGTTCATGGGTGTCTGGGGATATCTGGTGCCGGATTGCGCGTCGTTGAAGGATAGTGTGCGGATGACTTTCCCGTCAACGGACCAGGTGGTGGTTTCTTTCGTCCAGACGACTTTGTAGGTGTGGAATGTCTCTTGCGGTGTCGAGACAGGCTCCCAGATTGCGCGGTCGTATGTCGTGGTATCTCCTTTTCCGAAGTAGTTTGTCTCGATTTGGGTCGTGTCGCCACCGACGGCTTCCTGAATTGATATTGAGGTTAGATATATAGGAAGCAGGAGAGAATGGGCATATAGTCACTTACCCAGTCAATCTCGTCAAGATCATCCGACTCAAGCACGATACTGCTGACGATGCCAGTGCCGGGGGCTGCTTTCATGGTGACCGAGACTTCGCCGAAGAAGATGTAGAAGTCGGATTGGATGGTGGGAGCATCGCCTTGCTTGTTGACGGTAAACTCGGCGCCGCTTGAGCCCGTCTTGACGTTGCCGGCAGTAGTCGTCCACTGATCTAGATCCGAGCTCTTGGTGAAGTCGAAAGTTTGTCTCGACTGGGTTGTGCCAACATTGGCCGGGCAAGTTTCTATAGCATGTCAGAAGGTGCTGTGTTTTGGATTACAGTGTGAAATACTCTGCATGGGATTGCAGTCGCTGAATGTTTGGCCTGAGACAAGAGTCGCGACAGCCAAGCCTGCAGCAGCATACTTCAAGTAGCACAGCATTTCATATATCGGATTGATATAGGAATGGAAATATGTATAAGAGACAAGGAGAACGAATGAAAGAAAGAGTCGAGGTTAACAACCAAGAGTAATGACAGGCAGTTCCCGGAAAAGACAGTATGGTAGAGCTAAAGAGAAAGGAGGAACTGGAGTGTTTTAATATAATAACTACATATGTACTCCGTACTCCGTGCTCCCGTCCCTAAGTGTCTATTCCCTGAGACATGTACTTTCGTGCCGGTTATTTATAGTCGGGGCTAAATACTTGCCCGATGAGACTCGGCTGTGTATTTTCGTTCCAATTTCAAGAGTTATGGCCCTGAATAGATTGACATTACTTTCAACAATATTCAGAGTCTGATAGGGTCCAATTGGCTCGGCCTTTTGGGTTTATTGCGTGGAATTCGTCATGGTGTAAGCAGGCTATGCACCCAAAAGGGGAACAGAATTTGCAATTTCACTTCAGCCCTATGTTTATTTGTACGGAAAACATGAAATCGAGCATTGTAATCAACTGACAACCAAGTACAGTATATATTACATTCAAGAACCTATGCGCGAGATACTTGAGACCGCATAAAAGTGAATCAGATGCTAGAATCGTTTCCAAACTCAGGAAAATGATCGCTAAAGGGTGTGAACATCTCATTCTCCGGAAAGATGGACAGCATCCCAGAGAAACCCTCCATTCCAGACGGTAGGGATGGGGCAAAAGGAGGAATGGCGTCAGCCGTCGAATAGAGAAATAGGCTGTCAGGCATCCAATGCAATGTATTCGAGTGAGACTGTGCGGGCGGTACTTGATGATCTCGAGTTACCACCATTGGATTAGACTCATCTTCAAAAACTTTCGCAGCGAGAGATAAAAAGGGACGGAAGATTGCGCGCACTTGGATAATTGGACGACTTGTCGTTTCAATGCGTGTCAAGCAATCGGCAATCGTTGTCATGAGTTTGAAATCATCAGTATCTGATGTTGCGACGACATTGCAGAATAACACAAAGTATGCGGTGATAGGGTAGACGAGAAGTGTCCTGGACATTTAGTCAGAATTCATTCCAACTTTCATGTGAAGAACATAGCTTACCAGTGCAACAGGGCCACCGTGCCTTGCCTTTCGGCTGATATACATATCGACACCAGTGAAGATATGCCATGGTGGGCTTCTAACAAACACTGCTTCCTTATGCCAACGGACTGGTTTACGGCACCTCCAGTGATATGGAAGATGGTGGTCATGACCGAATGATAGGCGAATTGAAGAGCTGATATTTCAGACTGAGCATCTAGCCCTTTCCACGCTGGATACGGGCCCGAGATCTAAATAATGAGTCAGTGATGCGAGTAAAAACGTATCCAAGTATGTCCCTTACTCGCTCGATCCTCTCTTGGATTTGTTGCATATTCACCAACCAATGTTTGCCCATTCCATGTGAAGATGATAAACCACCTGTCAGCATCGAGGAGTGCCACGTAAGGTACGGCAGCACAGCAGCCTGTACTCCAGCAAGACTCATGTAGATCTGAAAGAGGTCTGACGTGGAGTGTTGACGGCTGGATTGGTCGGAGGTGAAGTGTCCAATTTCAATATCAAGTAAAGTCTCGAATCTCCCCACCTTGAAAGCAAAATTCTTATCCAGGACATAGCACCAGGCGACACAGTAATATTCTTCTTCACTCACAGTGCCTCTGGTCTTCATGGTAGTGTCAAGGCCCAGACTGACACACACCCTGCAGGCAGCTTTGGTAAGTTCCCAGCATGCAGTGATGTCCCCGGATCCTTGATAGAGGAATATCTGATTTTCATTAGATCTGATACATTCTTTCCAGGATTGTAAATACTTACACCGGAAAGAAGCGCCTGCAAGAGTCCGAGCGACGGAGTCTTTAAGAGAGAAATGCTTCGAAGGGCTACTTTTGCTGAGGCCTGGAATTGCACCACGCTATGTGTCATTTCATGGGTCAGCTCACTGTCAATTCCAGTGTTGGTGATGGCAGTCAGAAACTTGGAAGCCACAGCATTGACGCAAACAGTGCTGATGAGCACGTCGTGAGGCGATCCAGTCCTATGAAGCAAAGTGAGCCCCATTTGCTTTAGTGTTGCTTCAGATATGTGTCTGAAGTAGTCCCTAACAAATGGGCCAAGGCTCGACTCCTTGATGTCTATTGAAATATGTCAGAATCAGCCAGTCCCATTGGTTGAGCACCAAGCAATGAGAGGTACCTTTTAACATCCAGGCTAATAATTCAAAAGAAGGCGTTCTTATTTGTTCTTCGACAGTGATGTCACTAACAACGTGCACCGGGTCCTCAAAACTCTCGGAGAGTTGAGAAGCCAGCCGCAACCCAGATTCCAAGATCTGGCGGCGATTGATGGTGAGCCATTCCAGATGATCCAGGTGATATTGAATGGTTGTATGGGCATCACAAAGCGAGAGAGGCTTATCGTAACCCGAAGATGCCCCGCGAGACTGGTGATAGTCCAGCCTGGAGTAGCTGTCGTATATGGCTGCAGAATAATCGCGTGGTCCTAATAATGAATTTTGCGGATCTTGAGGGTTTGTGGCCTGGGGTGATTTTGGACGTATTTGGCCTCTGTTTTCTATCACTGCTAGCTGAGTAGTGTTCCTTGCTCGCTTCCTGACTCGCAGACGAGAGCATGTGGTATTGTTATCCTGGCAATTACCACATGGGTTGCCTCTGTCACAACGGACCTATGTTTGGTTAGGGCTATTTCCCATACGGTCTTATAATGAAGCTCAATCACACCTTTCGAGAGAAGCACGAATCACACTTTGGCAAGTTGTTAGCATTACTCGCATAGTAGCAATTGTAAGAGTCGCGTACCACTGAAAGAGGTTTAGGATGATTCTTAAGTACTGGCCCTGGTGACATTCTGGCGAGCAAGAGACATAGGACATTGAGCGAGCATGGGAGACGAAGAAAAATGTGCCATTCTGTACTTTTAAGTCAAGGGATATATATTGAAGCGCAAACCTCTAAACTATTCCTATAGTCCTATAGATCGCTATCGAGCTTGATATTCCATAAAGAAGCTTGTAGTCCCACTTCATTGCTTCTTTATGGGGCTCCAAGGGGGCTCTGCTGTTGAAGACTTGTTCTGGTTGGACAACAGTGATCCGATGTGTTCTTCATTTCTGATTTAAACTATTTTGTTCCTATTTTTATAAATTTTTATACATTTAGAACTGTGCTAAGCCCCTAACTGTTCCAAGATTCGCTTCATAACCGCGTGTCCGTCTTGGCGCGGGTATATATACAGCCCTACATTCCGAGCTCCGTGGCCCGATCGGATATAGTGGCCTATTATTAGCCACGGGTGTGTGTCGGGTTTTGGAGAAACTGTAAGGAGATGCTCACATTCAGTACATCTAAAATGGTTGAGGGCTTTATACCAGGATTGTGTCATAGTCTGTTCATGATTTGTAGTACACAGTGAATATCAATAGACATTGCAAAGTCCTCGATTCCACTAATAATTTCACAAAAGGAACCCACTTGTCTACTATAAACTATTGTTCCCACAGGAAATTGTTGATTAGAGATTAAGAGCAAAGATCCACTTGTTCAAACCCTGTTCCTGATCGACATCAGGTTTCTGCAGCCCCATAAAATCCGATTGGGCCGTCTATAATTATTCGGTATAAGCATATTCTATACCAGACAGAGCAATAGACCAGCAGATCTCGGGTATAGATACTGCCCAAGAAATAGGTATAAGTAGGCCCTGCTGTTGAACTGATACATCGCAGCAGACAAGTCTCTTCCAACTATCTTCAATCCTCATTCAAACAATCCTCAACCTCCAGAACCTCTGCCATCATGCGTTTCACCATCCTCACTGCTCTCGCCTTCATTGGCCTTTCTATGGCTACCTCGGTATCAACCCTTTCATACCTATCATATCCTATTCAATGCTAATTCCATAATAGATCCCCTCCGGAGGAAAGTGCAAGCAGGATGGAAGCTTGGGTAACTGTGAATCAAACCTCTGCGTGGTATGGCCCTGACTATAACACTTTGCGAAAGCCAGAAGATGCTAATTCCATTCTACAACAGCAACTGGCTGACCAGCCATATGGAAAGTGCAAATAAGCTTGCACATGGAGAAAAGTACCTTTACAGTGTACAGAATCAAATAGGTTGACTACAGACAATGCGGGGCCACTTTCCTTCATATCATACCGCTAGCATATAGAAACACCGTTTGTTTCCACAATCAACTGATGTAGAACATGTGCTGGTAAGCTGTGGCGAGAAGAAGCTCTGTCTGCAAGTTTGAGGAAGACTGCTGGGCTGAAACAAGGCCTGGGTTAAGATCTGTAAAAAGGCACCATTATGTCAAGTTCTAGTTTAAAACACTGATTTATTCACTAAAACCCTAATCCTAATCGCGACAGCGCTGACAGGCAAGAAACATTGAAACGAAAAACTTTTGGAGGGGTATTCACAAATGCGACAATTGTCTTGCATCAAGAAAAAAACACAAGATGATGTACATGAAGTCGTTTCTAGGGGTCATTGGTCATCGAGAGGGGAAAGGATTGGGTTATTTCTCGTTAGAGGTAGAGGTGGTGTAAGATAAGGAGACAATGGATGGAAGTGAGAGGAGAGGGTGTCTTGTAGATATGGGCAGTAAAAGGAGAAGAGGATAGACATGGAGGTCATCCCGCCCAGGATTGTCATCGGCAAGACTCAGTAAGAAAGACGGATCAGCGGGCCCAGCGTGAGAAATCCAAATTCCGGAGAATGTTGGTGTCAGCCGCTGCATTCCATTCCGCAGCGAAATCGGTCTGTACTTGAGGTGCACGAGAGGGTAGTTCCTCCGAGAAGATATTGGGTTTCGTATTCCGCCGCAGACCCGGATAAGTCCCTTCGGCGGCCTCAGAGCCTTGGCTTTGGGCTTTGAGAGCCCGCTCGCGGACTTTCTTGATTTCTCGCAGACGGGTGGTCCAGGACGAGGTATGTTCACCACCCTTGTTGCTCCAGACAAGCGAGAAGACGGACGCATTGAGGGCAAGAATGCGAACAAAGGCTGCCAAGTTCTTGCCGGAGATGACCTTTGGAGTCGCAGCAGGTGAGACGTCTGGGAAGCCGGGCTTACTCATGACCTGCACGCTGTAGTAGAGCTTCTGCGGATCTGTCTCACCACTGGCATTGCCACTTTCGTCGTAGGCAATCCGAGATGATGGTGTGATGACAATGTTGACAGAGTTGAACTCGGACGGAATTGTGTCAAAGTTGAAGGGCAGGTTGGATCGGTTGAACACGATGGTGACGTGGTTATTGCCAAGGTTTCGTTTCTTGTTGACGCAGGCCGGGTCACGGTCAAAGTCCGTAGGCATCATCGTTGCAACATGATACACAATTTCAGTCACACGATCCCGCCAAGCGTAGGTGTAATCTCCATCAGTATCGGCATACAATCCTTGCGGATTGAATTGGGGATTCCGAAGGGACACTTTGGTTCCCAACCCCGACAGCAGATTTTCGTAATCCGCAGAACCACCAGTGTTGGCCAAAATATCCGCCTCCTTTGTCTGACCATTGTCAATGTATACAACGCCAATCCGGTGACCATCCACAATGTCGGTGCGATCAAAGTTACTAATCGCACGTCGAGTGATATCGTCTTCCGGAACTGGGATGGGTTGCATGACCGTAGGCGTAGGGAAGGCGGTGGCAGTCAATTGAAGCATGATATGACTCGGCAGGACTGCCGTGCGCATGGAGTCGGAATGCAAATGGGCATCTGGAGTTGGAGGAACTTGATGCGGCAGAACTGGGGCCGTCCGCTGTTGATAGACAGAGTATGTGGTACCCGATGCCTGGCGCTTCGTGATCTGAGACAATCCAGATAGTCCGGCGCTCTCGACGGTGACGATACTCATGCCGACAATCCATGACTTCTTTGCAACTGGACCATCTTCAGGGGAAGGGGGGAAGCTTTCGAAGGGGATGGTCTCTCCGAGATCCGAATAAGCGACTCGCTGCATCAAATCGATGAATACTTGGCTTTGTTCTTCTACCACCTCTTTTCCATGTTCGTCGTGATATATGAGTCTGCTGGTGATCCAATTGACATGTTTGGGTCGATCCTGGAGTTTCAGAGACAAGAACCAGAAGACCATGACATGGTAGGTGAGGTTCGAGATATACTTCGACATTCCATCTTGGGAGGTCTCGACAGCTTCAGCTGCATGGGCGGCAATTTCCTTTGCCCCGGCACTGAGTCTAGACTGAGGAGGTTGGGCTGACAGAGAGGCCCTTGCAGCCAATTCAGAGGCTTTGTACCGATGCTCTCGAGAGGTCTGCAAAAATCGAATGCAGATGCCGAACACAGTGCGGATCTCCTCCTCGCGCAAGTTGACGTAGACAGCGGGCAACCGGGCAAGCAGGGCCAGGAGCTCCAAAATGTGGACAGCAATGTTTGACATGGTGATCACCTTTGACATCCTATCAAGAATGCTGTTCAATGATTTCGTGACTGACATTGGGATTTCATAGCAACAGAGTGACAGTGCTTGAATGCACCCACGGGATGTGCCGCCCCATGATCCAATGATACCCTGCATGAAAGCTCGGACAAGATCATCCTCTTCACTCTTGGCAAAATGTTCATGATAGCTGACAAGCATGCAAAGCGCATCGAAGATGCAGGCAGCCACATCGCTCTTCTTCAGTCCAGTGGTCTCAGGAGGCTCGTGGAAGGTTCCATTCTTGACCTGATCACACAGAATGCTGCGAAGGAGCGTGATCTGAGGGATAGCATCTCTGAAAAAGTCTTTGTTACCAAGCTGAGGTCCTATATGAGTAAGAATGTAGCTGTAAACATCCCAGTCGACTTCTCGTTGCAACAAGGTGATCACAACTTCGAGCCACATTTTGACCTTCAACAGCCCCGTGGTTCTTGTTATTGTCGTTTCTGATTCGGCGGGGTTAGAATCCTCCGGGTGGGCGTAGGCAAATACGACAGGACTAGACTCTCCAGATGGTTGCTCCGGAAGCACTTGTGGCAGAGCATATGTCCACACTGGGGCCGTCAGCTTTGATCCACGGGCAGAGATAGAGCCACGTCCCTGGGCCGACTTCGACATTGGAGTTGGCGCAGACTCTCTCATTGGAAGCTTTCCGGTTGGTGAGACTGGTGAGTTATCTTGCTGAGGAATCTCGCGGGTGGGGCTATCGCTGGGGGCCTGTAATTTAGAGCCACCATCGAGATTGCGACCCAGTACGTTCATCAAGAAGTCACTCTCCGATGTTGATATGACTGTGACTGACCCAGCCGAGTCACATCGCAGTCGGAAAAGTAGTTTTAAGACCGTCAAACGCGAGTCTACTGGTCGACTTGGAGATTGAGCAATGTCTAGAAGTGCCTCGAAAACCATCACAGCTTTGGTTGAGGAGAGGTTCAAGGCACGCAGCATCATCTTCACAAGGCCCACAGCACAGACGTTTGTCAAGCTTAACTCCAAGACACTAGTGGTGGATGTACGGCGTTGAGATCCATGGCTCGGAGGATGCTCGCGCGGTTCGTCGCGATGGAGTTCCGCCTGCATCGGCGCTCCAATAGTGCTTATCAGCAACTTGAACATATCATCATCACTGTATTGTATAGCCGGGCCCGTTAACAAAGACACCAGGGACTCCAAAAAGAGAAGATCATATTCTGCCGAGAAATCCTTCAATAGGAGCCCGAGAAGACCGTGTTCGTGAGAGAAAAGCAAATCCTCATGGCCGGATAGAGCTTCTTTCAACGTGTCCAAAGCTAGGATGCGGATGTCCGAGCTTTGTTTTCGTGGTTGAACAAAACACTCGACCAGCTCACGGCAATGCTGAGCCCAGTCTGAATTGTTGGAAGGATGGCAGATTTT